AAAGTGTAACTTACTCAGAAGTCAAAGTTCATGGCTCTTCAAGTATTGAGAAGAGAAAAACAACTAGGAATTTGAAGATGAACGGTAAAAAAACTTTTAAAATTCTAGATTCCCCTTTTTTGCTTGAATATTTTAATGAACCAATCATAAAAACAAATATTCCTGGACAAACCTCCGAATCAGAGTTCATCTCTCATATCAACACCTTTAAAGTGGTCATATTGACATGAAGGGCTGCATTAAAAGTCAATGACAATGTATTACTGATGGCCACATGGCTTAGAATAATGTACCATACCTATAGAATAATAATTTAAAAAAATGTTTCATATATACCTTCTCAGTTTGATATTTTAGTCTTGCACAGTGTCCCTTTTATAGTATTTTGTGAGATATCTCATGATAAGTAGACTTTTATCAAAACTGTCACAGAATATCGGTCTGGACCAACAGCTAATGCAGGAATTTTGTTCTTAACCTAGTTCTACTATAAAAACAAAGAAGTCATTTTTTAAAAATGACTTAAAAGTACTCATTTGTCATCTTAAAAAGACTTCTTTAATAGGGCAACTTGTTAGTCCATAATCCATTCCTACATAAAAATATTCATATATTCTCTGGCTGTATCCAAATCTGCAAAGTAAGTCTGGGAATTCCCCTCTCAGGCTGGGGTTTATTTTTCCACAATTTGGTGCTCTCATAAGCTTAGATTTCAGTCCAATTCAAGTGAGTTGGATGTTCTTGTCCAGAATTCTTTCTAATCCCAACTACAGAATCTTGTTTTCATTGATCATCATAGTAGCTCACTTCCCTCTCTTTGGACAGAGTCTCCATGGTACCTTGTTGCAATATTATTTGCCTTCCTTTACCTTATTTTTCTGGGACTAGCTGCGATTATGACAGCTAAGGGTAAGTACTTTTTAGAGCTATTTCATTAATTTGTTTTAAATTACTAGAATATAATTTTAAAGGTCTTTAAATTGATTACAATATTTTCCTGAAGGTATTTTCTTATATTATATATTTTAATTATATGAGCATTTTATCAAATCAGTGATTTATTGAATTATCAATAGCAAAGGCCCAAGTGATCTTATCAAAGATGTCAGTGAATAGTTGGGTATTTAATAAAAGTGGAAAATAATAGCAGCATTCTATATTTTGTAGTATCATAATGACATTAGATTCACCACCTGTGAGATGTAATAAAAACTGGAAACAGTTATAGAATTTATCTATCAGGGCAGTTAAAAATGAACTATAAGGGCATGAAATCAAGTAATTTGAAAAAGAGAATTTAACAGAGGAAAGAAAAGATGGTGGGTAGGTATTCATCAAAAAAAATAAAGCAAATGATCAGGATACTGTACTGAGCTTACACATTGCTCAAACTCAATACTTCATTACATTATAAAAAATATTTAGCTTTTAAAAGAATAAATCTATAACACAGCACTATTAACAGGCCAGAAATGTGAAAAATTTCATCAAATATAGAAAGTAAGATAAATACGATTTATAAGTCAGAGAAAACAGCAATTCAAAACACATAGCAAATAAATTTATTTAAAAAGCATAATTACATCTAAATCAATTATAATCTCAAAGTGAATTGTTTCAGAATAAAGCAGAATATATAATTTTTAATAATAAACACAAAAACTTGATTAAATGTATGATTTCCTGCAAAGACACATGATAAAAGGCTCAAGATAATGTAGAAAAATTGAATAAAATAACTATATTCTATAGATAAATATATGCTATATTCTGTAGATAAATAATCAGTGATATACCTTCACGTAGATACCTGACTAATAACTTTTATTTTTTTTTATTTTTTTTTTAAGATTCTATTTATTTATTTGACAGAGAGAAACACAGCGAGAGAGGGAACACAAGCAGGGGGAGTGGGAGAGGGAGAAGCAGGCTTCCCGCGGAGCAGGGAGCCCGATGCGGGCTTTGATCCCAGGACCCTGGGATCATGACCTGAGCCGAAGGCAGATGCTTAATGGACTGAGCCACCCAGGCATCCCTGACTGATAACTTTTAAAGGATGAATTTGAAAATATCTTAATAACTAATCTGACTTCAAGATAAACTGTTTATAAACTAACAAAAAAGAAAAGTGCCACCCAGATTAGGAAGAGAAGCATAGCATTATTCCAAATTATCTCCATACACAGGAAAATATTTTAGGACAACACCCCTGACAAACATAGAAGCAAAAATCCTACATACAAGAGCTAACATAATCTACTATTATACTAAAAGGATACTATGTGATAACCAAGTTCTGGTTAAAATCAGGGATGGGCTTGTACATTTATCAAGAAATTTGTCATATTGAGGAGAAAAAGAAATACCTCGAAGTAGAAGGAAATATATTTATTTTGATCCGTAAGAATCAAATATCTTTCATAGTAAAAATTTAGACTCATTTTCAATAGAATCAGTAAGACAAGGATGACTGATAGAACTACTATCCTTCAACATTTCTTGGGATGCCCTGGCAAAAGAAAAGCAAACATACAGAAAAACCTATTTAGATATAATATAAATATTACAAATTAAATACTGAAATTATCTGCAGATGATGTGCATTCTTACCCATATATTACAAGGAAATCTACTGAAAAAAAAAAAAAAACAGAATAAAAGAACACTTCAATAAGGAAGCTAGATACAAAGTTAATGTAGTGTTACTATATACAAGCAAGAACTAAGGTCCAATATCTAGGTCCTCATTTTAAGTTTCTTACTAACATTTCTTCTGAGATATCTTTAAAAAACAACTAGCATACTATATTTCCAAACAGACTATCTTCCCAACCTGGATCCTTACCAACATCAAGGGAAAAATCAGATGCTTTAATACTATTGTCTTTCTTGGTGGTTGATATTTAGTGAAATGAACCTAGGAGTCATCTCTGTTTCTAAGTGCTACTAATTATCTCAACTTAGTGAATTAATACACTTCTTTACATTTGCATTACTACCCATCTAATCCAAGACAATCTCCTTCTCCCTCACCCGCTCTCTCCCTCTCCTTCCCTTTCTCTCTTTCTCCCTTCCTCTCTTTCTACTCTACAAGCCGCCAAGGGATCTAACTACATTCACTCATGACTTCTAATCAATTTCCAGAGTAACCTCCTCAAAAATATAAATTTTATAAACTCACCATACTTTTACTGTTAGCTTCTTAATACTCTAAATTCAATATAATCTAAAAATCCTTAACATGGTTTATAAAGTCCTTTCTTACTCGGTCCATGGATCTCTACCCCAGCTAGTACCACGTACTTTCTCACTCTCTAGGCTCCAGCCACAGTTGCTGTCTTTTAGTTCATTAAATGACTCATGATTAAAGTTACCATTGTAAAGACAAGGATAATTAAAAAAAAAAAGACAAAGATAATTTTAAGAATGGGGTATATGCTGTTAATAATTACTCTGGGACGACAACAAGCATGAATCAGGACTTCTCTGGGCCGATTGACATGAATTGTAACTTGATCCATGATTTCTCTGGCTACCGAGCATATGCATAAACTATTCCTTTTACCCTAGGTACCCTTACTTACACGGTTTTTTGGAGTAACTGAATCCTAAGGTAATCAATTGTCCCAGAAAATAAATTTTCCTTTATAATTTCATAATGAAGCCAGCCAGCTTCCTCTATTACAGTATCTTATGTACCACCATAGGTAGCATCTTTCAGTCTTACCTGTATATCTGTGTGGTTATTTATTCAATGCCTGTCTTTCCCACTAGATTGGTAGCTTCATTAGAACACAGCTCATATCTGTATTTGCTCTACATTTTATCCTTTGCTTTCGAATATTATGGTAACCCGTTATAGGTACTCAGTGAACATTTTTGATTAAATAAATTCATATACCTAATAATGTATATGAGATTATAATACTTTGTTAAAAGGCATAAAGAAGGGCATTAATGAATTAAATATATATTAAATGTTCCTTGGTAGGAAGATTAATAGTGTGAAGGGGCGCCTGAGTGGCTCAGACGGTTAAACTTCTGCCTTCGGCTCGGGTCATGATCTCGGGGTCCTGGGATCGAGCCCCACGTCTGGCTCCTGGCTCGGTGGGGGTCCTGCTTCTCCCTCTGCCTCTCCCCCTGCTCGTGCTCTCTTCCTCTCTCCCTGTATCTCTGTGTCTCGAATGAATAAATAAAATCTTTTAAAAAAAAAAGTGTGAAGATGATAATACTCTTCTAAATTCATCTAAGATTTATGTGATTCCGGGGCGCCTGGGTGGCTCAGTCGTTGGGCGTCTGCCTTCGGCTCAGGTCATGATCCCAGGGTCCTGGGATCGAGCCCCACATCCGACTCCCTCCTCTGCGGGAGACCTGCTTCTCCCTCTCCCACTCCCCCTGCTTGTATTCCTGCTCTCTCTATGTCTCTCTCTGTCAAATAAATAAAGAAAATCTTAAAAAAAAAAAGATTTATGTGATTCCAATGCAAGTATATTTTCATGATAAATAAATTAATTAAAATTATACAAAGAAGTAAAAATGTATGAGATTAACACAATACAGATTGAAATATATTGACAAGAGAGGTACAGATCTAGCCTTGTCGGGTATCAAAATAGTCTGTCTATAAAGTTATTAAGCTATAAGTAACATTATGGTACTGGTATAAAATACATATATCAAAATAAGAAAAAACAGCCTAATAATAAAATCACATGCATGCTCATACCTATGGCATATATCTATTTAGTATATAATACAGTAAGCTCTTCAAAATGACAGATATTTAACAATAGGTTTGGGTTAATACTTGGACAGTAAACACTCTCATACACATTTTTTTCTCATACACATTTGATGTATGAAATTATCAAGCTTATTTACAAAATATAAGGATGAAGTATACATGCATACATACAAACATATACACATATATAAATTCACACAAAGCAATCAGATATATAATAATCTGTTAATATGGAAACAATTATTAATATGAAAGCAAGCAATAGCCTGTTAATATGGAAGATGGAAATATTAAAGAGTATTTAGACATGTAAACAATTAGAAAACAACCAGAATGATATATATAAAGCTATTTACAGAATTGTCTTTGCTGAAGTAAGTGGTATTGTACGGACTATGAAAGGGACTCTTTTCTACTCCTTACAGTGTATACACTTACCCACTTTTTTTGTAAAATAAATAAATTCATGTATTACTTGTGTAAAAGAGAAATAATTTAAAAAGAAAAATATTATATTCTAGAAATGAAGAAATTGTATTTGGGTATGACAGACATAGGGTAGTAAATACCAAAATAAAGTATAACTAGGATTCTGATGGGTACTCATCTAAGATATTGTGTTTTTAAAGCCTGTTTTAAAATTATCACTAAGTATAGAAGACTATTTTATTGTGAGGACCAAGCAGTGCTTAGAAGCAATTGCACATACTATTTTGATCAGCATATCCTGGAAAAGTCATGAAGACACCAATATAATTTAGATATGGAATACTAACTTGTGAATGAAATAAATAAAATAAATTGGTGAAATATCCTAATAAACACAGCTTTTTCTTCTGTTTTACTATTAGTAAACTTTGTCTTAATAAGCAAGAGTCCTAGGAGAGAAGCAGTTGAACCAGCGGAATTATTTCCCCCTGTCAAGTAGCTAATCTTATCTGTGAATTACCAATCCGAAGGAAGATCTTCCTGGATACTTAGGTTTTAGTATGTAAATGAACCATGCATGAATAAACATATGGCAGAAATGGAAGGGCAACTTTGCAAACAAACAAGAATGTTCTTGGTACAAAATTTAATTAAGCATGGCTTGCTCATTCAATTGACAAGATTTAGCTTAATTATTTGTCTTCTCATTTTAAACAAGAAAGAAAAGTTGTAGGTCTGTATTCAACTAACATCACATCAGTGATTAGCAGCATCCTTCACAGGAGAATATGTTTAAAATATGTAATACAGGGACACCTGGGTGGCTCAGTCGGTTAAGCGTCTGCCTTCGGCTCAGGTCATGATCCCGGGGTCCTGGGATCGAGTCCCGCATCGGGCTCCCTGCTCCGCGGGAAGCCTGCTTCTCCCTCTGCCTCTGTCTCTCTCTCTGTCTCTCATGAATAAATAAATAAAATCTTTAAAAAAAATAAAAATAAAAAAAATAAAATAAAATATGTAATACAGTTTAGGAAACAAATATGAAAGATGCAAGTGTGAGGGAATGGAAAGTTGATGATAATACTTTCTTCTTTATCCATTGAATTGGCATAGCAAAAATACTCAACTTTAATACTCTAAGTGGTCTGATGAGGGAATGACCCAGCAATATTTATTACATTGATTCCCATGTGTCCAGAAATGCATTTGGGACTCAAGCTGGAGTAATATGGTCCAGAGAACTTAAAGTCATGGTGATATGCGTCTGCACTTGACTAAGTTGAAGCCCCACGTCCGGCAAGTTTCATGTTCTTGTAAGTGGACTGAAATCAAATCTTGGTAAAGGAAGCATGCAGGAAGATTTTCTCTACAATTTGTGTGAAGTCTCCAAAATCTGTTAGAAGTAACCATGAGCCATTCAGACTAAAATAAATTTAAGCTAGGAACATTCCACTCACTCTATTTTTATTATTATTAATTTTTATTTTATTTTATTTTTAAATTTTATTTTATTATGTTATGTTCATCACCATACATCATTAGTTTTTGATGTAGTGTTCCATGATTCATTGTTTGCGTATTATTTTTTAAATTCAGGTCGTGCCATCTGGGGTTCCAGATCTTTCAAAATAAAACAAAGCACATCAATGTGAAATGATGTGGGTTCAAGTTTTCATATTTGAAGATAGCTCGAAATGGAGCTGTGAAGAAAAATGATACCATTTTGTAAACTTTTCCTTTTAGTTTGAATTTTAGCATATAAACAATTGATAGTCTCTGCAGATGGTTGATAAAGTAGCATAACTCAAGCTGTGCACTGGAAGTGTGAATTCTAGAGGCATTTTGAAGAAAATAGTGATAAAGAAGCACTAGAGGTAGAGATAGAAACAGTGTAGAATATTATAATAGCTCAATACAAAAATAATGAAAATCTGAATAGGAAAAAGATTATGGTACTGTGAAGAAGGGAACAGATATATGAAGCAATGTAGTGATAGAATAAATAGTACTTTGTGGCTGATTGGATGTGTGCTATGTCAAAGATGTTTGCTTCAAATATAACTTAGGTCATTATGTCCAGACTGTCCAGGTTTACTAACTGCTTAGAATGGCATCAATCAGACGTAGAAAATCACAATTATCAAAGCACCAGTAATTAACTCATAAGTATGTGCCATAAGGAAAAGTTCATATTTTAGATCAGTTACTTGCTGATGATATTTTACAATTCATTCCTCAGTTAATAATAAAAAATAAATGGCTAAGTTGTATTGAAGAAATGTTAGATTTCTATTTTATTTGCAACACTGTTTGAAAATGATAATAGTCTTAAAATGTATTTTCCTTTGCAAATTTTATGAATTTCAGTTCGTTGTCTAGAAGGGGTTCTGATGACACACGAAACCGCTAAGCAAAATGACACGACATATTGCAAAATAATATAACAAAGCAGAGGTATGTATTGGATTGCAATGGGAATCTTGGCATCACATATAAACTGTTTAAATCTAGATGTATATATGCAATTAATAAATATAACATCAAAGTTAAATATCTATGGCATAGGTGTCAGAAAAAAGGTTTCATGTAACTCTTGAAATTAGGGAGCATAATTAAAAATGATAATACAAAAATTATAATACATTGAGCAAACATGGTGACAAAGTTATCTTCATGCATGTACTTTTTTTTTGTCAAGGTAACTGGTCTTTTCTGAAGAAAACTGGTATTTTATTTCCACTGAAAAATAAAATCTTGGCAACAAGAAAATTGTTCTGAAGTACTGAGCTCCAGTCTTATCAAGACAAATGGCAAGGAAGAATTGGAAGTGTATGGCGTGATATTCATTACCATATTTTCTTATACAGAACATCATTATAAACCTCTTAATATCTTGTGTGCTTTCAAGAATTCTCAACTCAACATATTGTAAGCAGAGATCTCAAACTGAAAATATTAAAAAATGGGCTTAAAATGTTTATGTGATTTTAAAATTTTTAACATATTTGCATATAGAAGTATATACTAATATATAAAAATTTCATACCTTAGTAGATAAATGGGGAGGAGTAGAAATCACATAAGACATACAAACTAAAGGGAATCTGGTCACAATTGGCACCTTAAAATAGCTAATGTTTATTGATTGTTTCTAATATTCCTAGTAATACTTGAGTGATTACATATATTAAAACATGTACTGCCCCAATAATCTTATGAGACAATACTGTCATTACTGTTGTCATATTAATAAAGAAACTGAGGTCCAGAGAGGAATTTGTAGCTAGCAAGAATTAGAAACAAGATTTAAGCCATGACAGTCTTACTCTAGAGATCATTAGCATAATCATTATGCTATGCTAACCCCAGAACAAGAGATCATATTAAACCAAGAATATTGCTTTTGTTGGAAATAGATGTGCTTATACAAGCAGATTTATATTTTTCTCCCCTGGATGTATCTTTCAGAAAGGGACAAATAAAAAGAACTTTCAAGAATCAAATATCATGATAGCTGTTCATGAGGAGTGACATGTTTATATTAATTATTCTTTGAAATATGAAAAAAAAGATTAATAGAAGGGATTTTTCCCCTAGTAGACTCTAACAAGCCTAAAGAATATAAATCTCCTTTATTTTTAATTCTCCTCCAATATGTGGCTCTTGCGTTTATATTGTTGCTCTTTTTGCACTGTATTCAAGTTGTTACTGCCTTTAATAAAGACTTCAATCTACATCTGCGATGGTAAATTTGTGGCATATATGCTGACGATTTCTATATGGTGCTCTGGAGAAGGCTCGTTCAACAAAGCACACCTAAAAGTTTTCCCCAGTGGTGATGCTCTCATCTCATCCACACACTATGCTTTAAACTAAACTTGTATATACAGATCATCAGGGAACTCTTTCAGGAAAAGCATGTAAAAATGTATATAATGAGTTTGCTAAGGTAATGTCTCCTAAACCTCAAAATTCACTTTTGTAAAACATATTGACAAAGCCTTATGAACCCCAGGAAGGTGAACAAAGTGAAAACAAATTTATGTGTATCTTGTAAATTGCTGAAAACCAAAGACAGGAGAAGGTTGAAAGGCAGTCAGAGAAAAATAGAATTTACCTTCAAATGAGCAATTGGCAGCTAACTCTTAAAGGCAAAGATGGCGCCTGGGTGGCTCAGTTGGTTAAGCATCTACTTTCAGCTCAGGTCATGATCCCAGGGTCCCAGATCAAGTCCCATGTCAGGCTCCCTTCTCTTTGGGGAGTCTGCTTCTCCCTCTCCCTCTGCCCCTCCTCCCCACTCAATCTCTCTCTCTCTTTCTCTCAAATAAATAAATTTTTTAAAAAAATAAATAATAAATAAAAAGACAAAAAAACCATGAAAGCCACATACTTACTGAAAGAAAAGTGCCATGCTAAAATTCTATTCCCAGAGGAAATATTCTAAATATATTAAGAATCGTATGGGTACATGATCATATTTCATAGAAGAAATAAAGGTAATTAAAGATAGAGAAAAAAAATTTATTACTTTGGGTCTGCACTAAGGATATAAACTATAGTGGGTTCTTTAGGTGTAAGAAAATTATTCCAAATGGAACCTCGAAGGGACAATGAAATAGGTAAATGTGGGTATAAGTTGAAACAGTGATTATATAAAACCATAATATTAATGTCTATGGTTTAAAATTGTGTAAAATCAAAGTACACTCTAAGTGGGGGCGCCTGGCTGGCTCAGTCAGTTAAGCATCCGACTTTTGATTTTGGCTCAGGTCATGATCTCAGGGTCATGAGATTGAGCCCTGCATCAGGCTCCATGCTGAGTGTGGAGCCTGCTTGAAATTCTGTCTCTCTCTCTATCCCTCTGCCCCTCCCCCCACTCGTGTGCTCTCTCTCTCTCTCAAATAAATAAATAAAAGGTTTGTTGTTTTTTTTTTTTAAAGTACACTGTAAGTGTAGCAATTAAACCAAAAGGGGGATAAGTGGAGTTTAAAGGGCCTAAGTTTATCACAATGTCTAGAAGAGGTAAAACAATTATTTATATTGGACATTAATAAGACAAGGAAACATGTTGGGATTTTCAGAATAAACACTAAAATAATAACAAAATTTTATAAAACTATGAATATAGTGAAGGAATTTACCTCAATTAATGGAACAATAATTTATTGAATAACTTAATTAGTAGAATTATATTCAATGAAGTCAATGAAGGAAGAAATTTCATATCAGAATCATTTTTAGACAAAGATGCAGGAGTTCAAAAAAGAACTTCAGCCTTATCTTTTGGGTCCTTTCTGAGTGTTCAGGGGCCCATAAAGTACTGAGGGTGGATATTGGAGAATGAGAATGAATGATTCTAAGGGCAAAAGTGAAAGCATCCCCAGGTACCTCTGAGTCACAATTTTCCATAGTTCTTACAGAATCACTTACCTTGGCTTTATAGAGAGAGAGAGAGATTGGTAACCCACAATATATTTTTCTCAACCTCTTTTTCTAGAAAAATAGCCATGTAGTTTTGTGAGGAAGCCACATCTTAATAAGCCTCATTTTTTTTAAAGATTTTATTTATTTATTTTTGAGAGAGAGAAAATGAGCGAGGGGGAGGGGCAGAGAGAGAGGGAGAAGCAGACTCCCTGCTGAGCAGGGAGCCCGATGTGGGGCTTGATCCCAGGACTCTGGGATCATGACCTGAGTCAAAGGCAAATGCTTAACCAACTGAGCCACCCAGGTACCCCTAGAAGCTTCATCTTCACGTTATTCTTGCTCTCCCTTTGTTTTTCAGTCTCAAGTGAAGGCCTACAATAAATTTCAAAGGTCTCTTCTGCAGTATTTCCTCCCCTTGAGACAAATCTGTTTCTGTAAAGACTAGTTTGTCTCTATGTGGAACTGGTAGTAATTGATTCTTCCAACTGTTTCAATACCTGAGATTTGAAATATATGTATTATCTCAATTTCTATTTTCAATAGATCTTCTGCA